CGGAACGTTTTTTATGGCCGGAACCAATCTTACGCGGGCCGGAACGTTTATTATGGCCTGGAACCAATATTATAGGTATTTATCGTTCCGGCCGGAACGCCAAGTTACCCGGAACGTATATTATGCGACACCGGTCCCTGATAAAAAAAATAGTATTAATAAAAATACGAGTTACAGTTTCAATAGTTGATACTTCCATCATTTTATTCATATAACGGTAATTTTGTAATTATTTATTTATTAGGTTAAAGCGGAGAAAAAATACACTATTCAGTTTCATTAGAGAGGTTCATGCGCATTTTTACAACACATGCCTGATATGTATACCAATGAAATTCTTATTCTTAGAAACTCAGTATTCCAGTGTTGGTGAATGTAATTTCAAAGAGTTGAAGAAAATCTTAAATTATTTCTACATAATGAAAGCTGATAAGACCGGGGTTATATAAATTGACCTGAAGTTTTACAGATAACATAGACTTTTGACCTTGCTGCAGCTGGCTAAATTATTAAATCCCAAATGACCCACACTGCAATCCAAGATATAGAAAATCTGTGAAATTCAGAGTGCATGTTTCTGAAATTAACAATTAAATCAAAGATAGTTTCATTATCAAAGTATCTAACTTTGAAAAGGGGGAAGGGGGATGAGCAATAGCCAATCAATAAAACAAACAATTGTATAACTGTATCACTCAGTACAACATTTCTTTTAATACATGTGCATGCTAATAATTTCATAAAATATTCTAAATCAATAAAACATTTTTTAAAGGTTTTTTTGGAAATATGGATTCTTATTTCTGCTTCCTTAAGATCTGACAATTAAGTACAGGAGATGCTGTTTTCACATTATCATTATTTTTTTTTTTACAAAATAATTATGTGGAATGTTTCTTTGCATTTAATATGTACAAACCAGATTTTAGCATGAAATTCCCGAACCAGAATAATTACCGTAGTAAAGTTTTACAGTGTATATAAATTTCGTTATATTTTTTGTTTTTTAAATTTATTAAAACTATCCAAATTTTAAGGGAGTAAAATTTAAAACTCTAACAAGATCTAAATTCTCTCACTGTTTGAGTTCTGTTCTACAATGTAAATTGCTTCAATCTTCTGACTGCAGAGACATGTTTATCTATAACACGATCAAGTCATCATAGCATCAGCACTGATCTTTACTGTCCATGAAGTCACAGGGGACAGATAGTTGCCAGAGCTGATCGCCTATAGCTAGTGTTTCATGAGCATATATGATTGGCAGTGATTAATAACAATTACACTGTGAACTGGGGGCAGGAAGACATCAAGGTCTCAAAGTCTTTATCTTTAAAGTAAAGAATGATGCAGGAATTAGGGTTACTAGACAAATCCCTATTATAGAATCAATTCTTCGGTTTAAAGAAATGCACAATAGTACTACAATATAATACAAAGTGAGATTAAGAATGAAAATAGGTTCTTGTAAATTAAAGAATACATTAATAAAACCCATGAGATATTATTTGACAGCTGCATGTACTATGGAAAAGGAGAAATAAATTAAACTTTTAAAAATTTGATGACTTATATTATCATACATGTATATAAAATGTTCATTGGAGGAGTATGGGGCTTAAGACCTATATATTATTATAATTTACATTTCCAATTGTCACTTAGTTTTTAAATTAGTGTTACATGCAAGATATAAAGGAGAATGATTTTTCTCAGACATAATTTGCAAATCAGAGTTACCGGCATTACTGTAAACGTGTAACATTTGGCGGTGTGTTCTTTTTAGCGTTTTTGGCGGAAAGAAACATCCGCTAATTTAAGTACAACGCTAAATGTCTTAAACATAGAACATTAAAATGCGCTAAATCAAACCTATGCTTACTTGTTAAAATATCAATTTCCGCCAAATATTGTACACTCTAAATATAAAACATTTACAGCATTTCATTAAGATAGTATGAGAAAGATAGAAAGTGTCAATTTTGCAATATTCTTAATACAGTATGGAAATGCTTTCATAATTCTTGGGCAATTTAAAGTTCAAAATTTTAATTTAAGTTTTGCAATTTTTTTATCTACTTTTCAAGTCTATTTAATTTTTAGATGAGACACCAAAACTTGTTATTATGTACACATTGTTTCGATTATTCTAACTTTGCCTGAATCACATCTTTGATAATAGGACATGCCGCTGTACTGAATGTGAGATTTTTCCTACAGAAGATGACACCCAAGAAAATTGTTGAGGCTGTTTTACTGTGACTGATGAAAAAATGCTATGGACCTTTGGAGACCAAGGAATTGGAATCGTCTCTATTATGAAGGAAAGATTTAACCGAGAAAGAAACATGGTTGACCTTCATCAACAATTTTGGTTTAATTTCATGGTAGAAAGGAAAAATACTGTGGGTATTAACCTGTTAACCAAGACATTGTTATATGTGATCACACTGCCAATCAGTGAAAAAGCCCTTTGTGTTGATACATGAACACTGCACATTGCACATGCTTGTTCCGAAGTGAAATATTTGTTTGTTCCTGTACCTTGTTTATATTATGCTTTAAGAAAGCCTTAATTCAAAAAGTACTTTATAAAATGACAAACTGATTTTTCATATATATTTTGTAGAGTGTGTACAGATAAAAAATGTTTTTTATGAATATGTACTGCATTTCATATAAAAGAGAGAAATGTTTCCCAAATTCTTCATGTACGATAAAAACTAATATAATACCAGTATCACAAAACACATGATAATGTTAGAGAGGAACGTTCCTCTAAAGTTATTTTTAAGTGGGCTTTGTAATGTATCAACAGATATCCATTAAAAGACAGAGGAACGTTCCTCAAATGCACGGGTTGCAAGCTTCATGAGGTATACGTAGAAACACAACCATTTGTGAGAGGAACGTTCCTCAAATGTCTGGTTTAATATGATTAAGGTATAGAAATATACAAATTTGAGAGAGGAATGTTCCTCATACATGTAAGTATCATGTGTGAACAATGTTAAATTTAAGTGAGGAACTTTCCTCAAATGCCTTATGTTTGACAATTCATGAGACAACCATTTGTGAGAGGAACGTTCCTCAAATGCCTGATATTTGACAATCCTTGAGATGCCTACAGTAATATTTAAATTCAAGCAAGGAACGTTCCTCAAATGCCTGATGTTTGACCATTCATGAGATGTCTTCAGAAAAAAAGTGAATTTAAGAGAGGAACGTTTCTCAAATGTCTCATGTGTTAAGATTCTTTAAGTATTTAAAAATACACACTGTATGTACACATGTTAGAGAGGAACGTTACTCAAATGTCTGGTGATAATAAATTCATTTTAGTTTAGAGAGAGGAACGTTCCTCTAATGTCTGGTCATAACAAATGCATCTGAAGTTCAGAGAGAGGAACGTTCCTCAAATCTCTGCTCATAACAGATGCATATGAAGTTCAGAGAGAGGAACGTTCCTCAAATGTCTGGTCATAAAAAATGCATCTGAAGTGTACAGATAGAGAGAGAGAGAGGAACGTTCCTCAAATGTTTAGTGATAACAAATGCACCTGAAGTTTAGAAAGAGGAACGTTCCTCGAATCTCTGGTCATAACAAATGCATCTGAAGTGTAGAAAGAGGAACGTTCCTCAAATACTTAACAAAATCTTCAAAAAGGGAACTTGTGGAGACACATATAAGGATTTTAAGACCAAAATGACTTTAGATTGCAAACCTTGGGACAAAAAAAGGGAATTTTGATTTTCCCTTTTATTTTTGGATTGTGTTGCATATAATAATAAGAATAGAAACCCTAAATGTATTTCAAAGAACAGTATTACAAATTCAAATCTTTACAAGTTTTGTTCTTAATAAATAAAAATAGGAAGAGACCACATCAAGGGGATAAAAAGTTTAACAATGGAATGTATGGGGAAAGTCTGGAAAATTGCACGAACCTAGATTATTCTGTTCATTTACCAAATTAATATCATGATAAGGTGCAGTGTTTGTGAAATAGGAATTAATTTTTAGGAATTTTTCAAGAAAGGACTTGCTCACTTTACTTAGCATAAGTTTATGGAATTGATAAAATCTGTTTATTAAGAGAAAGATAGAGGGAAAAAAGGAAGAAAAAATTTAATATTTTCATTCATTTTGAGCTTACCTGAGCCTTATGCTCCAGTGAGTTTTCTAATCACATTTTGTCTGGCGTTCGTCTGCTGTCCATTTGTGTATATGCTTTTCATATTTTTGTCCATTCAAAAGAGCCATTGAGCAATTTTAACCAAGCTTTCCACAAAGTAATGTTGTTTAAAGGGAATTCATGTTTCATCAAATGAACAGCCACTCCATTTTTCAAGGGGAGATAATCGTAAAGTAGTGAAAAAATAATAAAGATGAAACTTATTAGTATGTGGAAGCTTTATCATGTGCAGGAAATGTAGATTCAAGTTTGTTTAATTCATGACATCCTGGGATAGAGTGGGGCTTCAATGGACGATCAAAGTTTTACATTTGAAAGGAAATATAGGAAAATCTTTTAAAATCTTTTTTACAAGAACAGCAAGGTCCTCATCGGTCATATTTATTAATATGGATTCATCCTCAGGTGATTAAGATTCAACATGACCCCAGGGTTTAGGGTAGTTAACAATTGACGCTTAAAGTTTTACATACTAGGAATATACAAGAAAAATTATTTCCTCAATGCAAAGCCATGATGGGTCCTATTCATATGGACACATTCTCAGATAGATGTAGATATGTTAAAATCATTAACCAAGGGATAGGATTAGACCACAATGAAACTTCAAAATAGGGAAAAGGTCACTGTCAGTCAAACAAATATGTAAACATTCTTAGTGTATATTAAGTTTTTTTTACACTACCTTCTTTTAAGGGTAGGTTTGTACAACTCCTGCATTTACTGAATCCATTTGTTCCTTTTTCTTAACCACAGAAATCATATGAGCGATGTCGCATATGAGCTTCTTGTTGTTTTTTCTAGGCAAGTCATCAGATGGAAGAAGAAACCAAGAAAATTCTCCGGCAGAAGATCATCCTTGTATGAATGGGATGGCAAAATGAATAATTGATTGGAAAGAAAATATGAACTCTTTAATTTCATTTAACACTAAAAGAAATTGAATTCTATTATAAGAAGATAAGTACATATTTGTTATGTGGAGCTCAAATAATTTAAGATGACAATTTTCATAATATTATGAAAGACATGTATTAGCATGCATGTATATGTATATGCCTGATTCAAGATAACGAAAATAATTTTTCTATATTGTAATATTCATAAAAACGAAACCTTTATTTATGTCTTGCAGACTTCTAATGCCTATAGGCAAGCTCACCGCAGCTTGATTTTGCTAATTTTGTAAAAGTCAAATAAAACACTTTCATGGAGATGAAAAATGTCAATTATTAAAATGACGGTATAACCATGATAATGTGAACAATTAAACAAACCAGAAGGGGATCAGAAAACCTTTATATTTACAAATTATACAATGTCCTACAGTGTCATATAATTATATAATTGTAAGTGTATTTTTGAAATGAACAATTTTATTTTGAAAATGGCACTGAATGACAAATGTTCTTTTCTTTTTTTCCTTTTCTTTTCTTTCTTTTTTTTCTTTTACAGAACTTCCTTGAACCATGTAAAAGTAAAGTGAAATAAAATTTTATTGTTATATATATGTACACTCATATAATAAAGTATTAGTTACTAGTTAGAAACTAGCATTTCTATCGGCGTCTTTAAGTTGTGTACACTTGTGATAAAAATGATGTTATCTATGAGCATTTATTGCCAAATTATTAATTTGAAATGATGACTTTTTTAATATATAAAAGTTATGTTGTAAAATCTTCTTGTCTTGTACCTATTGAAGTATTGGTAAGATTTTCACAAATATAGATTGTTTATCATGTAATATATACATATCCGTAATGTATTTTTGGAATTTTTACTAAACGCTTTTATTTTTACACAATAAAATGCAATTTGATTTATTCTATTCGAGTAAAATTTGGTAGATATTATTGATAAAGGTTCATGCAAGATGGTTGTTGTGATTTTGTACATATGCATTTACAGTATATTTTAATTGCAGATTTGTGTAAAAATCTTTTGTATTTGTAGCAATTTTTTTTTGAGTCAAGCTCGTGAATAGTATATTTAATATAAGTTTAAACGCAAGCTTTTAAAAAAGCAACGATAAACATCTTGAATATGAAAGTATCACTTGGAACCATGTGTACATAGAGATAGCTTTACTAAAGGCAATTGAGAAAACTTGCAAGTTACAGCAAATTGTATCAAAATCACTTGACATATTGTAAATAAAATAAGTTTAAATCAATACACAATAAACATCATGCATAAGCTTATGTATTAATTTGGTGTCTTTTTTTTTCCACTTGTCAATAAATAAAATCAAAATGTTACTCCAACATGTTTATTTGTGAAACTTCTTATACGAAAATAGTAACTCTGCATGTTTTTTTCCGACAAAGAGACTACGTGTGAAATTGATTCAAAATGCAACTTTTCCATGGTCTGATTTGAATATGACATTATAGTGAACTAGACGTTGACTAAGATTTCTTAAAAGTGACATTCTTCGTATAGGTATGGAATGCCATATATGACAGCCAACTGCTTACTGTCAACTGCTAACTGCTTACTGCCAACTGTCAGCTACTTAATGCCAACTGCCACACATATTTGAATAAATTTTTGTTTTGATATATTCATGTGTATTTTCAAAAAGCAGACGCGGATCCAGGATTTTTTTCCTAGAGGGACACATGGGTAGAAAAAAAACCCAGAAATTTCTTGGCAAGAAAAAAGTAAACTTAGTTAAGGACCCTCTCTACACCAGTACAAAATGTTTTTTGGATATTGAGAAAAATATATTTTATAAAAGTGTTAGTATTGAGCTTATTTATATGATTTTCAACATATGTTGCGTGGCATTATTTTGTAAAAACAAAGAAATATAAATCTTTGAGAAAAATGTTCAAAGGTTCAAAATTGATGGGAAATTGAAATTTATTTTTAAAATAACTCCCCTGTGAATCAACAACAAATCTTTTTTCAGTTTTTAGCTCACCTGAGCCGAAGGCTCAAGTGAGCTTTTCTGATCACATTTTGTCCGTCGTCCGTCCGTCTAGCTGTCCGTCTGTCTGTCTGTCCGTCTGTAAACTTTTCACATTTTCGACTTCTTCTCAAGAACCACTGGGCCAATTTTGACCAAACTTGGTACAAAGCATCCTTGTGTGAAGGGGAATTTAAATTGGTAAAATGAAGGGACATATCCCCTTGCAAGGGAAGATAATCAAGAAAAAGACAAAAATAGGGTTGGGTCATTAAAAAATCTTCTTCTCAAGAACCACTGGGCCAGAAAAGCTGAAACTTATGTGGAAGCATCCTGGTATAGTGTAGATTCTAAATTGTTCACAACATGACCCCGGGGGGAAGGGCGGGGCCACAATGGGGAATCAAAGTTTTACATAGAAATATATAGGAAAAATCTTTGAAAATCTTCTTCTCAAGAACCACTGGGCCAGAAAAGCTGAAACTTATGTGGAAGCATCCTGGTATGATGTAGATTCTAAATTGTTCAAATAATGAACCCGGGGGGGGGGGGGGGGGGAAGGGCGGGGCCACAATGGGGAATCAAAGTTTTATATAGAAATATATAGGAAAAATCTTTGAAAATCTTCTTCTCAAGAACCACTGGGCCAGAAAAGCTGAAACTTATGTGGAAGCATCCTGGTATATGTAGATTCTAAATTGTTCAAATAATGACCCCCGGGGGAAGGGCGGGGCCACAATGGGGAATCAAAGTTTTACATAGAAATATACAGGAAAAATCTTTAAAAATCTTCTTCTAAAGAACCACTGGGCCAGAAAAGCTGAAACTTATGTGGAAGCATCCTGGTATGATGTTGATTCTAAATTGTTCAAATAATGACCCCGGGGGGGAAGGGCGGGGCCACAATGGGGAATCAAAGTTTTATATAGAAATATATAGGAAAAATCTTTGAAAATCTTCTTCTCAAGAACCACTGGGCCAGAAAAGCTGAAACTTATGTGGAAGCATCCTGGTATATGTAGATTCTGAATTGTTCACAAAATGACCCCCGGGGGAAGGGCGGGGCCACAATGGGGAATCAAAGTTTTACATAGAAATATACAGGAAAAATCTTTGAAAATCTTCTTCTCAAGAACCACTGGGCCAGAAAAGCTGAAACTTATGTGGAAGCATCCTGGTATAATGTAGATTCTAAATTGTTCAAATAATGAACCCGGGGGGGGGGGGGGAAGGGCGGGGCCACAATGGGGAATCAAAGTTTTATATAGAAATATATAGGAAAAATCTCTGAAAATCTTCTTCTCAAGAACCACTGGGCCAGAAAATGTGAAGCTTATGTGGAAGCATTCTGGGGTAGTGTAAATTCTAAATTGTAGGAATCATGACCCCCGGGGGAAGGGCGGGGCCATTATAGGGAATCAAAATTTTACATAGAAATATATAGGAAAAATCTTTGAAAATCTTCTTCTCAGGAACCATTGGGTAAAAAAAGCTGAAACCTATGTGCCCATGGAAGGATCATGGGGTAGTGTAGATTTCAAAATGTCTAAATTATGATCAGTGGGGTAGGGTGGGGATGCATTATGTATAACAAGGGGGAAATCTGGTAAAGAACAGAATGGTCAAAGCTTCTCAGGTGAGCGATGTGGCCCATGGGCCTCTTCTTATCCTTTCCAATGATTTTGTTGTCTTATGTAGGAGGGGGATTAAAAACAGGAAAATAGTCATTTTGAAAGATAACAAATAAAAAATGATATACTTTATCAATCCCATAAGTTTAATTTTACATTTATAAAAACATACGATGAGATTAAGGAGTCATTTATCCATTTTCATTAGTATTTGAAGATCTGATGACATGTTCAGTCTGATTTCAATTGATAAAATCTACCCCTTATTAAAGAAGTTATACACGAGAGCAATTAACTTTTTGTCAATGGTTTTTAGAATAAGACTAAAGTACTTAAAACTGACCTTGGAACACTCCCCCCCCCCCCCACCCCCGAAAACGAGGATCTGTATTAAGTTAATTTGTATGAAAAGTCATAGATATGAAGATATGGAGCATAACCCACCCACACCGCCAAAATAATTTTTCACGTTTACAAAAGGAGTTTACGTTATTTTTCTTGTCAAGAAAGGACAAGATAGGGTAAAAGCCGAATCTGGCCCCTTATTTGATATAAAAATCAGACTAATGGTAGAGTTGTGATAGTTTGTAGTTCAGAAGTTAAAATGATCCTCACTTTCATACAAGCACTAATTTTGATTCAAAGCTTACATGGAAGCCACTAGAGGGCGCAGAAATAGGACATTTTCTAGAATGTCCTCAATTCTGGTGGAATTTCATCATATTTGGGATACATTTCTCTTCTGAAAACATAGAGCACAAGCTTGCCTATCTGAGATTTTTACACATAAACTGCATCTGATATTAGTGTATAAAATATATAAATTTGGTAGATAGGCAAGCGTGTGCTATATGTTTTCCGAAAGAAAATATGCTGTAAAATTGATGAAAATTTGCATAAAAATGAGAAATGACGGAAATTGACCTATTTCCTGACCTCACTTTGACCCTTGTATATTCTAAATCTTAAAACCAATACTCATTTTGTGGCAAGGGTGACAACATGTTTTTATGGATAAACTGTTGGATCATTCTGAAAGACAGCCAAACTTGGGGGCCAAATATACTGCTTTTACTCTATCATGTCTATCTTGTCCTTTCTGAGTTCGATTTATTTTTACTGAGGTGGATCCCTCCTGGAAAAATCCAGGATCCATGTTTTTTTTTTTATTTTTTATTTTTTTTTTTAAATTCACATAAATATCAACGAAAATATGACAATTTATTCAAATATGTGTGGCAGTTGGCAGTAAGCATCTGACAGTAGGCAGTAAACAGTTTGCAGTAAGCAGTTGGCTGTCGTATATGGCATTCCATTAATATCAACGAAAATATGAAAATTTATTCAAATATGTGTGGCAGTTGGCAGTAAGCATCTGACAGTTGGCAGTAAGGTAAGCAGTTGGCTGTCGTATATGGCATTCCATATATAGGTACACTGTATATGTTATCTTAATAAGACTCCTTTATACACAAGTAAACTTTAATAAGAATATAGATACATATAAATTCTGCTTTTAAACTTTTGAACTGTGTATGACAAATAAGCGTAGCATATGGCCAGGAAAAGGAGAACTTTTTGATTTTTTCAAAAAGCTACTTTTTCTATGAACTTCTAGGGCTTTGTGTTAGTTCCACGGTGACGTAGATTTGTTCTCAAGAAACAAACTCGAAGCCCTTCATCGGTATATGGTGGCGTCTACATGTACGTGCGTAAACATTCTCATAAGGGTCGTACATGTAAATTTCACAATAAACAATCTATCAGTGATTGGCAAGGATTTTAATACTAGAGTGTCCAGAGTTTAATTCAAAATCGAAGTTCCGTATCTTTGGTTATTTGTTTATCACATATTGACTATATAAATTTTTGACAATATTTCCAGATGAATACTATATTCAGGTCGAAATTGAAAACCAAAGAAATTGTTATTTATCGGATGCAGTGTATTCAAAATTTTCTATCTTTGCCTGGTTTGTAGTTTTATTGCAAATGATAATTTTGCTGTTTTCAACAATCATTTTTTATAGGACTTGGTAAAAAGAGGGTTATTTTCATTACTAAACTATCATTTTCTATTATCATCCAAATCTAAGTATACATGACCTGAATCTTGTACCTGTATGGATGATTGGGCTGGGTCAAGAGCTTTTGTTTTAAAATTGACAGAGTAAGATTGAGTTATCTCACTGTAATCGATAGAAATTTCAGCTAAACCTCTGAACACATTTCTATTGTTCAGCACGTCATACTCTGACGTCATTGTGTCTGATACATCTACTGGATCATTTACTACACGTAGTTTCCTTTTTCTTGTATGCACATGTTTTCTTATCAGTAAAGCTACTGCAATTACTGCCACGAAGAGGAAAAGTGTGGAACAGATTATTGCAACAATAATAACGGCGCTTGGAAAAAAAGATAGATTTGGGGTTACATGTAAAATATTGGAGCTGGTTTTCAAAATAATTGATTCGTTGCCAGATATCGTTATTGTTTTGGTATAAGTGTTCTTGTCCTGTGCTTCATAACTTCGATCTAAATTGATGGCTATTGAGGCCATTTCCGTCATTAGCAAAAGTGACGATTTGACCTTAAGGCTCAAAGGTTCCGTCGAGATTTGGGAAACAATTGTGCCTACAAGGAAATAAAAAAAGTAACAATTATCATGAGAATATTTACAATTCTGTAGTACAGTACTTACTTGGGTTTTTGTTCTCGTTTTTAGTGGTAAAAATAAAATATTAATTTTGATTTAAAGGGTGTATAGTACTTATTAAAGAAATAAAAAAAATATGCTTTTGATATTTTAGAAAGGAAATATAAGTATGATTTGTTTAATATAATTTTGTCTTAATCGAAACTCAGTTGATTTATGAATTAATTAAAATTACTACACAATTAAAAAAAAAGATCTTTATAGACAATTAGATATGAAACGATATTTTGCTTGAAGTTTTGCAAAGTGGTTGTTTTTAGGTTACTCTCTGTCATGACTATTGCCGGGACATATAATGGTTGTAATTACGATCTTCCCCCCTAATTATCCCTTCGTTACACCCTGCGGAAACTCAGTTTTAGAGACACTTTTCAAGGTTTTTATACAGAGCGTATTGAAACTTTAAAATAATCAACTACAATGTATATCAACACGCATTTTTAGGCGTTTTGGGCATTCCCTTTCACTGAAAAAAATAAACTAGTGAAAGTCACTGGGAAGACTAGTAAATTTACTGTCCATATAATCACTACCTCAAAAGTAGTTTTACTAGGAATTGGGTAGATTTACTAGATAACATTAGTAAATCTAAGAATTTATAAGTAACTTTCACTAGGTATCTTAGTATCTATATGACCACCACTCCACTTTTTACTATCTTAGCCAGTAAACAGAGTCACGAAGAACGCTTTACTAGGCACACTAGTTAAATCAACTAGGTATTTCTTTCAGTGTTCCTTTTCATGTTTCTAAAATTTGAATTTATTTTTCTTTGAAACAAAGGTTTCAAGATAAACATATTTTCAACTTGTATGTGAGCTTATCACAGAATAATAATTTTGTGAGAATTTATCAACTAAATCCAATTATTTTGTACTTTCACACTTTGACAAAAAACTTTTGACTTTACCATAATTATCTATTATGTACCTTGTTTGAGACTCAATTTAAAAAAAAGTTCAAAATTACCGTTAAAGTACTTCCTACACCAAGACAAATTTTCTTGTTACATTACTGTTGGAAAATATGTGGGGCATTCATTTGTTAAAGGCCTATTTGTAGATTTTTTTTATAATGAAAAATTACATTCCTACATAAATAATACTTGCCAGACTTTTCTGTGTTTAGTCGACATCCAATAGCGAAATGACATTTCTTTTCACTACAGCTGCATATTTGCTGACATTTTTCACCGTATGTAGGATATCCACACTTTTTAGAACAATTAAAATCAAAATATCCTGGTTTGCAACCTGTTCAATGATTTATTAGTAATATTTTACAATTTTGCTTTTTCAAACAAGGTTTTAAAATATTCTGTTTGGCCCTCATTTCTTTAAACTCCATGAGACAAAAAAATTACTAATTGGATAATAAAGAGCTTTTTGATACTTTTAAATGGCACAAAGCATAGATATAATATGGGGGGAAAATAGTATACCTGTATATAATAAAACATATCCTTCAATTATTTTAAAAGACATGGCATGTACTTACTGGTACAGTTTCCTGTGATTTGATTTCTGTAATAGCCATCGCAGCACACTGGTCCTGTGTTACTTGTGAAGAGAACAAAGAAATGCATTAACTCTTGATAAATAAGCATCCCTCTCTCTTTCTCACGCATACACACACTCATACACCCCCTCCCCCGATATCTACAGAGGGAGAGGGGGAGCTTTTTTATCCTCCCTGTACAGAAATGAACAGAATATAACAATTTCCTAATCTACTGCTTACCTATCGCATATTTCTTGACTAAACCCCGTACGTGAAAAGAAGGGCATAAAATATAAACATTTTAAGAAATGGTAATTTGAGACCATTTTGTTTAATTGATTTGATTTTTTCAATCTCGCCTACAACGCTTCAGGAATTTCCGCAATTCACAGAAAGTATTTCCTTATTTCGTAAAATATGATATGAATTAATCTCTTTTAACATGATAAAGATAAAGTTGAATGTATTAGCAAATAAAAATGTAAACAATTTCATTTTAAACTTTGAAAACATGTAAATTAAAGGTATCATTGGTGCATTTTTTGTGTTAAATAGTCTTCATACATTGTTTGTTTTGAAACAGGTAGATTCCTGATTAAAATTATTTTGTTACTTTACTGGGTTAATGAGTTTCGATCTTAGCTTCCATACTATCACTGAAACCAATCATCATTAATTAATTCTTAAGGGAACTGGAGAGATAGGAATAATTTTAGCAATTTTAATTATGCAGTATTTTGTATTCCCGTGAGAATCACGTAAAATGTGGTGACAGTCAACAACAGGATTTGTAAGCATTAATTTTATTGAGAAACTGCCTTTGATGAGGCTTTGATACCCGCAATAGATGAAGTTTGGATATCCGGGGCACGTTAACAATGGAAGAGTTTATTGTAAAAGTTGGGAAAGAAGACTTTGGCTTCAATGCAACATCTTTGGAAAAGGTTCCAGATTCTTACCTAAATAGGTTATTATTGGAAGAGAACAAGTGTAAGACTATGTCCTTCCCGCGATGCCGGGAAAGCTTCCGTGCAATTCACGAGTTTTGTTTCTCGGGTAAATTGCATATTCCGAAAAGTGTCTGTGTCGGAAAATTTAAAGAAGAGCTGGAATTTTGGGGAATTGATGACTCGGCAATGGAAGAATGCTGCCTGAGAAAATTGTACGATTATGATCTTCAGCAGAAGTCGCTTTTGAAATTCAAGTCTGACTTTAGCAGACGTCAAAAGAAATGTGAAGAACTGGACAACAATAACATCTCCACAAAGTCTCTCAGGCAACAGGTGTGGGAAATATTGGATTACCAGAATGACAGTATCTATGCCAAGGTATTTCTCAGAGAGTTTTTTATTGTAAAAAACTGATATTACACGGATCATTAATCATAATCAGCCTGTACAATAACTGCATACAGGTACATTTTCGTCCTTGTCGGAAGTAAGCGAATCTAAAACGTTGCGAAAATGAAGTTAATTGTATATTTAATAATATCTAAAAATTAAAACGGGGCAAACTTGTTTCCAATTGTGAAAGGATGAAAATAACACGGGTCAAAAATAACCCTCAATACAGTATTCAGAGATATTTTTATATTCTAGACGATACAAGTGACAAATAACTGCAATATACTATGAGCCCTGACAGTCATTGAAAGTAGTATTTTGAATTTAAATTTCGATCTCCATATTAACTCAAAATTCGGTAACTTTAGTCAGAAATTGTTAGCGCTCTGTGACATCAACATTTTATATCAAGTAAACAACGACATCAATATGTCTATCAGTTAGATTGATTGATTGTATGTTGGGTAACGTCCCTCTCGAGAATTTTTCACTCATGAATATGGAGACGCCACCACTTGCCGGTGGAGAGCTGCAAATTATATCCTATATACATTTAACATGTACATTTATAAAAATGCAAAGAGAAAACAACTTTTTAATCTTTATTATTATTTTAGAAAAATAAATAAGGAACTAGTAGGAGGGGGGGGTATTTTCTTTAGCACGCAACAAACCTCTATTATTGTTTCTTTTTCTCACGCTTTCCCTTCATTCCGCATTCTTTTGTTTCATTTGCTTTATTACATTTTTAGCAATTGTTACACAGTTCTTTTTATTTAGGTAATCAAATTAAATTTCATATTTTTACATCTGGAAACACAGAATTAAGATGCTTTTAACATTTGTAACTTTGCGTTTTTGCCCCCATCGTTCTTCATTATTTAAATCGAGAAATAATTATTTGAACAAAAACGGTTACTGTAAAATCAGTAATTTTCACGGGGAGTTAATTTTCATTGTTTTCGAGGAATGGAAAAACCCACGAATTTATGACCTCCATGAAATGTAAATTAAACTTGCATTATTACTTAACAATTGTCCACTCACGAAATCAAATCCACATTTTTTTTTCTCAAGCCTAAAAAAATTGCACCCACGAAATTTTTAAGTATTTTGAAAAAAATATGTCTGAGTAATTATATTTTTATAATTATAGAATATAATATAAAAGTAATTTTACATTCTAGTGATACCAAATTAAATCTCTTTTGATTTTTATTTGCAGGTGTACCTTTTTCTATCTACCCTCGTGGTCTTGGCTAGCTGTATTATGATAGCCGTTAGTACACTTCCGGAAATCAGGTCCAAACTAATAATGGAAACGGAAAAGAAAAATACGACCAACCTCGAGATCCAAAACCAAAACCAAAATTCGCTTTCATCTAATGTCTATTGCAAGGAGACGTTACTTGAATTGAATAAAACAAAAACAAATGTAGAAAATTGCAAAATGGAATTTTGCATTCTTTGCGATGAATTTGAAATTCTTGGTTTCCCAATAGCGAATTCTTCCCAAAGAAATATCATTATGAATATTTGCAAAGGCTGCTTGTATGCGGACGCTTCTTTTAAAACGGCCTTAATTAAGAAAGCTACAACGTTGTCAACAACTGCTAAAAATAGCATACATTTGTTTCTTTTTGAAATCATTATTATGACACTCTTTACTTTTGAGTTTCTTCTTCGTTTAACCTGCTGCCCAAATTTAAAGCTGTACTTTTTCAGCATCCTTAATATCATGGACGCTCTGACCCTTACTGCAAATTACGTTCGGTATGGGATATTCTTTTTCGAAATAAATATAGCAGAATCAAAATTCGAGTTCCTACTGTATTTTCAAACGTTTCGAATTCTTCGATTATTGAGATCACTGAATAGGTTAGTTGCATTTAGAGTACTTAGGTATTCTGTGCGAAACGGGCGAAAAGATTTGACCCTGATGTTGTCGTACATGTTCATAGGGATGTTGATATTCTCAAATTTCATTTACTTTTTCGAATCCGAGGAAAATATTCCTACCATGTTTGATGCTTGGTGGTGGAGCATTGTCACCATGACAACTGTGGGATACGGGGATATGTATCCTAAATCAATTACTGGGAAGATAATTGGCGGAATGTGCGCTATTTATGGTGTTCTTATGTTTGCAATGACCGTACCTATCTTTGTAAATACGTTTCACTCGCTGTATAAGTATGCAGTCTTTGCTAACATGCAGTCTCAGAAAACCAAAATAAAAGAAGAGGAAACGGACTCTGAGATACTTGCAGAGAAGACGGCTTGAAAAGTTAATGATTGAAACTTTTTGGCATCAGGCTGTAAGAGCGTGCATATAACAGTATGTCCAACGTTTAATATTTGTATATAGTTCTCTCTTTTTTGTAAATATTAGGTAAATAAAATACTCAAACATCATTTTTTGTGTGTGTATGTTAACAAACGTTTTTTTCTTTTACCAAGACAAAAAAATTAATAAAATTACAAAGAATTTAATTGTTATGCAAGGAATATGATACAGAATACAATTTGTGGGTTCTAGCTAATCCGAGCTCAAAGCTAGTGATTTTTTCTGATTATCGTTTGTCCGTCGTCCGTCTATCTGTAAACATTTCACATTTAAACTTCTCTACAGCAACCTGGCCAATTTTAATCAAATTTGGTACAAAGTTTTCTTGGATGAAAAAAAAATCTTCTCAAGGACCATTAGACCAGAAAACCTGTTAAAAGAATGACCCTGGAGATAGGATGGGCCACAATAGGACATAAAAATTTTACATTGAAATATAAAAGAAGAAGAAATCCTTTTAAAAACTTTATTTTTTTCGAGAACCACTGGATCATAACAGCTTAAAGTTATGTGGAAGTATCCTTGGAGTAGTGTAGATTCTTAACTGTTAAAATCATGGATAAGGAAATAACAAGTGGCGAAATCTGTTCAAGAACAGAATGGTACAATGCAAAAGTTACAATGTTGTCCATGTGCCCATTGGTCTCTTATTGGTCGATTTGTTAAGGACCCTCTCTACACTGCACCGTAATTTCAGGGTAATTGCGTGTAGTTAGACTGACCCACCATTTGACATAAAAAAAATTTAAATCTGCACTGTATGACAAAATTTTAAATAAATACATGTATTCTAAACATTATGTTAGACCAAGATAGAGTAATTGAAAACTTTATTTGCATGTATTTTCTCCATTTGAATAATCAAAAGCAATTTTTCTTTGTCATTACTTCACTGTCTTCAAAGATTTTTCCTGGATAAAGAAGGCACGCTCTCTATATTAGAAATGGGTTAGTTTATTTCAAAATAGCCTCCTTTACACTATATTATTTTCTCAAAGTCCAGAAAACATTTTTCGTCAGTGTATTGAGGGTTCTTAATTTCTTCTGTTTTATTTCAAACTTTTACCAGTGCACCATATAACGCTCATATGAAGTTTAAGTTCTTAATCTTTTACCCAAAGAAAGTAATTTATTTTCAAGCTAAGAACATAATCTCAACATTTTGATATATCTTTATATCAAAACAAAGATAATATTATATTTATTATGATCCCATGAATCATTTCAATAATCAGTCTGAGAATATTTGTATTATAAACAAAGATGTAAGAAATAAAATGAAAGATATAATAGAATATCAATAAGCTGTACACAATGGAAACATAACATATGCGATCAATATTTCACCGTTACTTTTTTGTTTGATAAATATCGGTGTGTACTGAGTTTGCCTTTTGATGCTATTGTCATTTCAATGAAAATACTAACTTCAAGAAGGGTTACCATTTTCTATCACCGATGAACTATAATACTTAGTCATAGATTAATGAATATTTATTTCATCTTCATGTTCTATTCCACCTTAGAATTTTTTTGAAAGTAAATTTTTTTATGAGCGTATTGTTATTTCCATTAGCATGATTAGAGAAGAACGACCAACCCGCTTAATTAAGCCTGTGTGTGTTTTTTGTTGTTTCCTTTTTGATTTATGTCCCAATTGAGAATATTTCACTCATATGGAGATTTAGGGATCAGCGTTTTATTTTGTGACTCTTGGGCAATATTTGCACTGCTGGTCAGTCAATTTTCTCCTCAATGTGTGGTTTCAAGAGAAATACCGGAAAGGTGGATCATTTCTTTAAAAAAGATTTTTTGTACAATTGTCCTCTACATGTATTTCAGCTACATATCAATGATCAATAATATACAACTCTAATCTTTATATGAATAAAATAAATAAGTTACTGTTAGAAAACAAACAAATTTAAAATTATAAAACTGCAAATTTGAAAAATAAACTTGTTTTGAAACAAAGTTCATTTAGTGTTCTATGATTATTTTTATTATCAATTTAAAATAATGATAAAAAGTAAGGTTTCCTGATAAAAGGGTTATCTATGAAGAATCGCGGAAACGACAATATTGTCATTATAGAATTATGATTTTTAATTCAATAAAATTATAATGATATGGTACTTATGTCTGGAAATTAATTTAAGTATTTCAAAACTGTCAACATTGGAACAATTTCCTAATTTCAAGAGATTTGTTCAAATAAATTTGTAATTTTCTGCACAAATAGAAAAAAAGGAAAAAAAAATCCATTAAGTCAAAGGATAAGGGTGGTGCTAAATTAAATAGGTTTTTGAAATAAAAACGTGAATTTTAATTAGATCCGGAAATACACTCAATTTCCTTATTGATTTCAAGTGAGTCGGGAATAAAAGGATCAAATATGCTAAAAATGGACATTTTCCTGATAAAAAAAATTTCTAGAAATGAAAAAAAAGTTTAAAAATTGCTAAAGTAAATTTATGAACTCAGATAAAAAGAAAATTAAATAATAAATAAATAACTTCAGTTCTTGACACAGCATCTTCGCTAGCCAAGGGTTTCTGATACGCTACTCTCCTCATGAATTCTTGGCATACGGTGAAGTCAAATGACGGAATTGTTTTCGTCATGTGATCTTGAAGGTAGGCACAGTTAGCGTCATCGACGTGTGTTTAAAAAATATTAAATCAAAGTTTTTTTTCTAGAATAATTAATAAGTAATAATTGAGTTATGCTTACTTATTATTTATGGTACAAATCCGAACTTCAATATACTGGATGACACTGTAGCTACATGTATTCATATTATTGCATGTTATCTTACGGATCGTTGTTTACTTGCATTTTTTCATTCTCGAGATTAAAGAGTCAATAAGTATCCCGAACGCAAATATCGGCATTTACGAAAAAAAATTGCTGATTGGTCGACCGGATGTACCGAATCCCAATCAGAAATGGAGAAAAAAACCCATCTTCTATCAACACCATATGCCAAGGGTTCATGAGGAGAGTAGCGTATCAGAAACCCTTGACTAGCGAAGATGTTGACACAAATGTAACCTCTACCAGGATATGGAATTAAGAAAAATACAACAGTGTAATCTTTTCAATACCACATGATAATAAAATTATTTAGCTTTTCTTTGCAGTTTGATACTATATCAATTTCAGTTTAAGAGACACCTTTTACATTAGCTATGTCATCATATGAGTAATTCGCACTCTTTCCACTTTCGTTAAAATTTGATGATTCCGAACATGAAATTGAGCCCTTGAGGGAGGAACAAGGGCCTGCCATATTTAAGCTGTTATAAACGGTCGATATATCTGTATTTGTGTGAAGATCTTCCAGCTCTTCATAATGGGACTCTGCCGTTTCCTCCAATTGTTTCCGTTGATTGGATTTGCTCTCCTTTGAAGAACAACATCTCATCGTTCTTTTGCAGACGTACGTCAGTATGAGAATAAGGAACATGAAGTTTGCCCCCAATATGCCCCATAGAATTGGATTTTTCAAAATTTCATTTGGACCTGACGCATCAATATTTTCGTTTTGCTGGTCCGAGTCTTCAGTAGAAGATGCATTCTTTAGTGTATGGTCTGAGCTTTTAGTGGAATATTCTCTCTTTGTTGTTGGGGGATGATTCAGATCTTCCTCCCTTTCAACGTTTGACGTTTGTTTAACGGAGGTTATATCTATATAATAAAAGGATTGAATTTCATAATTTATTTTTATCTGAAAATTCATAAGTACATATACTAAATATGCTGAGGAAATTTTATCAATTTAACTTAAACATTTAATTTCTGAATTGTAATGCTTTGTTTAAATATATTTTTTGAAAAAAAATAATTAAACTTAATTAATTTTATAATTTGAAATTTAATAAATGCGATTAATTCCTTTTGATCACAGAAATATATAAATGGTTAAAAGCAAAAAAAATGTGTAAATATATATTACGATTGAGAGTTGTTTGCACACATCCCGTCGCTTTGTCACAAAACTCTCGCGGACAGGCACATTCACCATCTAGACATTTTGTGCCGTAGTATGGGTAATCACACATCCTTGTGCAGTTTGCACCATGAAATCCGGGACGACACGCTCATAAAATATAGTGTATTGAAATTAGTCTTATATATATAGATATAAACTTTAAAAATTACAATTGTTGTTTAATGGATATAAGGTTTCCATTTTATGTTCAATAACATTAGTATTAACAGGAATAATTTATAATACTCACGAACACATGTGTTATTTGCAATCAACATTTCATCTGCACAGCATGGTCGGAAAAGCCTTTTGAATTGAAAACAATATAAATGAAAAACATTATAAGAGTTTGAAAGAATTGATGGTTGATCCCATGATTGCCCACTTATCACATGGATATCACTCATTGCATTTTTCCCGATATCCCACATTAAAAAGAATTTTGAGTGAGAAGGTAAAAAAAAACTAAAGAATTCGAAGATTTTGTATATTAAATCGTGTAGAATAATGACAGTGATTCATAAAACATTGGATAAAATAGAATTTGCAACGCTATATTGTTAGATATAATCTTTGCAATTTTTTGTCAAGGCTAAGGGATAACCCTCCCCCTTTCCAAAACACAAATTATTAGGGTAATTATCTATATTTAACATTATCAGATTTACTTTCGTTTGAACATGTGCTAGTGAAAAATACAATATAAAATATACTTTTTGTAAAGTGTTGTTAACGTTTTTATCTTCGTTTATTACATGTAATATAATAGAGAACACCAAACACGTAACGAACGAATATCGCTTTAACGAACATTAAACTTTTTTACATTGTGATTACCTGTGTCACTGACGAAACGTACGGACGAATCACACGTATAGAAAAATTAAAATTATTTGTCATTTTGATCAATATAATCGCTTTGGTGTTCCATGTTCCAGTATGAAATAAATTTATGCATATGCCCAGGTGTTTTTATTGATTCCTTTTAATTAACTTATAATAATATGAATGAAAATTAATCCATATCATAATAAAGCATTAGCAGACCAGAGTGGGGTTTGAATCCCCACTAATTTTTGTACACACACACACACACACACACAGAGAGAGAGAGAATAGCTTTTCTGTAATAGATATTTATACGTGTAATCATTTGGAAAATTAAAAAAATCGCTGTCCTTTCTGCTCGCTAGATCTGTAGATTTTTGCGTATTTGCTTTCCTCCGTACATTCACAACCCCGCCTAAGGGCTCCAAACATCCACAAGTAACATGCAAGGAAGATTCCATCAAACTCTAGCTATACCATTTTTGGACCATCTTCAGAAGTAACTAACTTTTAGAAGTATGCATATTAAATATTTTTAATCAAGATAGAAAAATGTTAAAATGTTCCTGTAGTTTGTAGAAGGAGGGTGCTCACTTTTTCTGAGAATAATATTTCGCTGCAGTTAAAAAAAAATAGTTTGTTTTGGAAGCTCCCCCCACATCTTTTGTTGCTGGAAAATACGCAGATTCAAGATTGAAAGTAATGTACCGAACAGAAAAGTGACATGAAGCCCCCCTCTACCCCCTTCCAATTTTAAAAAGTGTTGTATAGGTTTTTTTGTTTTGTTTATGTTTGTCTGTTTGTTTGTTTGTTTTTGTTTTGTTTTTTTTTTTTTTGCTTGTGAAATGTTTTTAGAGCCCCCTTTCTTATAAATGAAGCTACGGACTTGAACTGGCCATGGTGTTATTCTATGCATGAGTGCTGGGTTCACCGACCTGGACCCCCCCCCCCCTTTATTTTTCAAAAATTGCTGGATCCGCCAGTGTTAAAGGATGACCTTTGTTTATTACGATAATGTCTTATATATATATGGCACTCCAAATTCGAAAAATTGAGCTAAACATAGTTTCAAAGTCGATAAACTAGGTATATCGCTTGTAAACTACAGTTTACGGACCGTAAACTATAGTTAACAAGTTGACCGTTAATCCATATTTTACATTTGTAAACCATAGTTAACACGATAATCTATGTTTCAAAACCGTAAACTTAACTTAACACTGAAAACAATCATCTGCGGTTGCAAAACATAAATTTTCTGAAATATACAGTTTCACGATTTGCAATCTATGGTTTACAGCTCATTATTGTTCACGATCTGATAAATATGGTTTCACGATTTGTGAAATTATAATGAACAACTCTTAACTATAGTTCACGAATGTAAATTATAGTTTACAGACTTGAATCTATGTTTTTCAACACAATCTGTTGTTAACGTTTTCTTATAGACAGATTAACTTAGATTAGCATTCGTAAACTATAGTTAACAACTGTTAAATGTAGTTTTACAATTGTTGACTATAGTTTACAGTTGATAAATCTAGTTTATCAAGTGTAAAACTATGTTTTAGCTCATTTTTGTGAATTTGCGTGCCATACGTATAGGGTGTAACAATTATCAATACTATGGTTTACATTAGCTGTTTAACAATATATGCAAGTTTGCATCTAAGGTATCGATATAAGGAAGCCGATATAATATAATATCTCCATAGGAAGTGGAGAAATACGTACTAGCAGTTAAACTGCCTAATAATATTTATTCAGCGGCGGATCCAGGAATTTCAAAACAAGGGGGGGGGGGGGCGCAGTAGAAGACTTACAAGTTTAGAGGCTGCATTAAAGCACCCAGTGGGTCCAGGGCGAAGCCCCCGGAAACTGAGAAACTCTAAAAGAAATTAGAGGTGAATGTATGAGCCGATGGTAGAGTTTTCTTTTTGATCTTAAGATAATACAAACAAAATTAAAGAATAAAATAGGGAAGGGGCGCACGCCCGGCGCGCCGGGGCTGGATCCGCCTTTGAAATAATTACAAAATAAATATAAAGCGAGTGATGGTATATGTAAACTAGTAATACGGTTAGTATCGTCGAGATACGTTCGTTCGTTGCGTGTTTGGTGTTCTCTAATAGGTGTGATGTGTATTTAACGCTTATGTTTTCATATATAAACAATAAATTATAAAGGGGATTTACTTTTCATTTAGAGGCTAAATTTGCAACGCAATATTGTTGGATATAATCTTTGCAATTTTTTGTCAAGGCTAGTGGATAACCCCCCCCCCCCCCAACACAAATTATTAGGGTAATTATCTATATTTAACATTATCAGATTTACTTTTGCTTGATCATGTGCTAGTGAAGAATACAATATAAAATATACTTGTGTGAAGTGTTGTTTACGTTTTTATCTTCGTTTTTTGCATGTAATATAATAGGTGTAATGTGTATTTAACGCTTATGTTTTTATTTATAAACAATAAAATATAAAGAGGATTTAATTTTCATTTAGAGGTTAAATACTTTCCTCTCATTTTTACTCATCAAACCTTTGAATAAAATAACAGATAAATACGTTTATTTTGTTTTACCTTAATGAAACTTAAGTAAGGTTAACATATCTTTCATTACATAATTGAAATTAACTTACCCATCACAAAAAGCGCTGACATTCCATTTTTGTAAGGATGAAATTATTACAAGAATTATAGAGAAGAATTTTTTCATTCTTTGTTTGTTTTTTGATCAATAGTCTCACGAAAAATTTAGTGTTGTTCTTGTTAATGAAGGATATATACCTCTTTCGTAAATACACAGATAAAATCAATTACTTCCCTAACTATTCTTTTTAAAATATACGACACTTTGCATACATTAATTAAGCACAAAATATACTTTCCTTCCGGGTTTTAAATTGCAGTGATAAATATAGGATAAAATAGTTTATATCACCTCACAAGTGTTTTAATAATATGCTGAAGCAATTGCAACAACATTTCAGGAAATGTTGTAGTTATTTATGTAATTATAAGATAAAACACAATATTGATATTGAAAAAGCCATTTTTTAATTTATTTTAATCGTTGCATGTTATGTCAAAAATTGACCGTCAGAGTCCTTAATTAGTTTTAGGAAAAAAAATCCTCTGCATCTTATAAGAATAATCTAGTTGATGCATAACGTGGGATTTACATATTAATGTCCTGAATTTATTTTTCATAAAAGCAAATATTAAATAAAAAATACTCATAAAAACATAAATAAACCAGGAATGTTTTAATAATTAACTTGAAAGAGAGCTATCGTAAAGTAATGTAAATGTAAACAATTCTTAAATAAGATAAACTAAACAAACCAAGAAGCGAAATAAATAATCGAAATGCATACAAAAATGGCAGAAACAAATTATGATCATCTTTGAAAGGGTTTCATACATGTGTATGTTGGATTAATTGAACGACTTTTGAATGGTTGAATTTTTTATTGTCCTATTTGTTTCACTTGCTTAAAGACCTAACCTTATCCTGTTAATTTATTCTGTAATCCATCAATATCTTGGAGGTCAAATTACATTAGCAACGTCGTCATAGTCTTTGTCTTGACTTTCTAGAGAAAACAATGATTTCAATGATTCATATGACGTTTCACTGTCTTTTGGAGACAAAGATTGATGCCCAGTTTCTTGCATTATGTCGTAATGTTGCCAATATCCAGTATTTACATATATTCTGTCTGTATGCTCATAGGCATGTTCAAATTGGATTTCATCGCTTTGTAATCCCTTGATTTTTACAGAAAACATACATGTATCTACACAAAATGATGTATTATACTTATATAAACATATTGCAATGACAAACAAAAGTGGAAGTAGAATGATCGAACACAAAATATATGGAAATGAAGAAGTATTTTTATTTACAAGGTCGGTTTTATTAGTTCTCGGTAGCGTTGTTAGAGCTTCGGTTAACAAAGCTGAAGATGAGAGTCCTTTTATCTTCTGTTGCATGAATATCGTTGCTAGTTCCGATGTTTTTGTTGATATAATTGCCGTTGTTTGTGTTTCCATTGATATTGTCTTTGTTTCTGAAATCGAAATATATGGCTTCAAATATCTATTTAATTATATAAAAGATATAATTTCAGATGCATGAATAAATCACACTTATTAATGGCATGTTTGTCTGTCTGATATTGTATTCGGCAGTTACCATTCCGGTAAGATCAAAACTAAGGGATCATTTTACATGACATTTGTTTTTACCTTCAACTTGCACAGGATTCATTTTCATTTTACACTAATAGTTGTGTGAGAGCTCAAGATCAATGCGATGATCTAGCTATATGCATTTGAGGAGGTGGAATAAAAAAAACACTTCTGCGGTGTTCAGCGACTTGTAAGGTAAAATATTTGCATTTGTGTGACTATTTATATCTTGTTGAATTTCTAACCGAACCAGTGTGAACAGCAGGATTAAAGTAAGGAGCATTTTGTATTTGTTTGTAATTTGTTAATTACGAAATGTTCATGGAAAATCTTTATTCAATTCTGAGTCATTAAAAGGAGGAAATTCAAACTTTTTTTGACATATAATTTAGATTTTCCTGATCATGAGTTATGCTAATAATTTGAATAGCACTTTGGAAAATCTAACCATAAGTTCCTCGTTTAAATTTAACTCTTTTGTCATTTATATCCTTACCTCTTATTCTGTGACATCCTGTTGATATCTGACAAGATATTCGATTACATGCACATCTTCCAGTTGAGCAGCGATATCCATAGTAAGGGATATCACATGTTAGACTACAGTTTACGCCATAATGTCCAACAGGGCACTCTAATTTACAAAAAAAAATATTTTTTTTTAATTTAGTCATTTTTGTACAGATTCATAGAAAAGAATTGAAACAAGAAAAATTAAATCAAGAAAATAAAAAAAAAACTGAAAAGGAAATAAATTAAACGCTTAAAGAAAGAAAATATGTAAGTTAACGAAAGAGGAACGATACATAAACTTATAGCTGATCCAGTTACAATTATACACTTATCTGCAGAAGATATGAAAAAAGCGGGAAACCGATAGACGAGGGACAGACATGAATATGCTGAGAAAACAAATAGGCCCATCCGTGTTCATAGTTAGGGATTAAAAAAGACATTGTAATTTCCTTTTTGGGTATTGGAAAACACATTTTTTAATATAAGATATGATTTGTAAAACAAGATCGAGTACAACTTTGTAGTTCATGCCTATGTTAAGTACAAGAATCCGGTGAGTCTAAATTTGTTTGGAATTGTTTAAGCAATCTATATATAAGACACCGACAAACTGATATCTACTCCTGCATTTTTGAAGACTCTCGTCCCATTTCTCTCCTATACAACACGGTCTGTAGCTGTAAATTCTGCAAAGATGATCAATACTGGACTTAAGACAATGAAATGTTTAAAAATATTTAAATAAATGATCAAAAAGCACATTTATAGCCAGTTATTTTGGAATGGGAAAAACTTCATAATTGTATACATGTAGTATTACATATTCGAATTACACGTTAAAGTACCAAATGAAAATATCAACGGATTTTTCAGATAAAAAAAAATATATTCTCGACAAGGATGAGCAATTCTTTTAAGGACTGTGCTGATATTGGACAAAGGTTATGTGAGTCAACATTACACTCCAGGCTAATACAAACTTTGAAATAAAAGTTAATAAGAAATATAGTTGCCTTATTATACTGCTAATATTTATTTTTGAAACCATTTTGTTAAAGCGACAGATAAAATTCATAAAGATTATGTCATCAATATATCAAATCACACTATGATGTAAAATATCGTAATTTTACATATTAAAAAAAATATATTTCCACTAGAAAATAATCGAAAAAATGTCCATATACTGAGCGTGCCAGAAAGAAGATGAAAAAAAATGAAAAAAGTAATAAACTTTCAAAAAAAAAAATGAAAAGGAAATTTGTTTTCTTTGTACAAAAGAAAAATATCAAAATATATTTTCTTACTAGTTAATAAATTCAATTTCTAATTGCAGATTAAGAATAAGTTGTAAGAAATATCCAAATGAGAACTTTGATAATGATCCGGTATATTTTTTAAAGTATAAAATGTACTTACCCAGAGCATTCAGAATTAACAAAAGAACAATTCTCAATGCTTAAAAGTAGTAAATATTGCAGTATTTCTTTCACCATTAGAACATTCTGTATATTTCCTCATTTGAGTGGAGAATAATTTAAAATATATATAGATTACTACATTGCGTTAGATTCTTTAAGTATTTATTGTTTCCTCTTCGCAAGCGAAGTTATTTATGTTTTAAAGCTGTTGAATATTCATATAAAAAACATCAAGAGCTACTAAAAATAAATTTGATTGTGTGAAAAATGGAAATAAGCTCAAAAGTGCCACTTGATTCCATATTTAAGAACATGATCAACGTAAAAAAATGAAACGAGTCAAACTTTTAACGAATATTATTTTGAAACATGGATGTCACAAGATGACGTGGATCATGTGTGGTAGAATTTATAAATCCATTTGCAATATCAAGATTTTATAAAGAAAGGTGATAGCAGCTGTTCATTGTATAGTTAAATCATAGACTCTGAAGAATCCCATTATAATAAGTGTATGAGGTAGACGCAGCTGCCATAGAGAAACTAAGACTTTCATGGGAGCCATGTAATCAAAGGAAATGTAAGTTATTGTTTCTTTTATCCCACCCTGTTTTGATAGCAGGCATATCAGTGCGTGCTTTATGCTATATTTAATTCTTGGGGTCAGATTGCCTGATATGATACCAAAGATTTTTGTATTCTTTCGAAGTTTTTTTTTCTAGTCTTGTTTGACCCCCTTATTATATGTTTATAGTTTTGTATGCGTCATTTAATTCAATAAATGACATTTTTTCCACTTTCATTACTGTTGTTATTTTCTTTTAATCCATCAAAAAACAAGTTCATTTGACTTAGCATTAATATCAAAGGAACATAAAAGAGCCTTTTGGTCATATACTGTTTTGTTTTTGTTTTTTATAAAGATATCAACGTTTATCAAAGTAAAATTTTCAACAATCCTGTAACTTTTCTTTTTTTATGTGCCCTTCAAGTTTTAAAAGAACTGACTACACAGAACTAATTTTAATTGAAAACCTAGTAGCTTTGTTTGTTAACTTCCAATACAATCTGTATTGGAATTTAAAGCAAAATCATACATTTCTGTCCATTGTAAAAACGTCACAAACATATTCATATAACATGATGCATAGTTTACACCAAATTATTCAAAAAGATATTTTTCAAATACACTTCCTAAATATATTTTACAATAATTAGTTTTTGGAGACTATTTTTCCTAAAGACCATTGAATGTATCTTTTCTTACGATTTTTGTCTTATTTTTGTTTTTACAAACAATTGCATTTCTTTCAATTGTGATAAATTTAGTAGAAGGTTATATCAATATAGGACTCTTTCCGATTTATTCTTTCATCAAAGTAATTCATATTTTAAATTGTTTTTTGGCAATACATAAATGGCAAATATGTTTTTTTTTTTCCAAAATACATCAGATACTTTCCATGAATCTATAAACAAAAAATTCAAAAACAGTCTTACCTTATGCTTACGGGGAGAAGTTTTTTTCTCTCTCTCGGAAACTTCGTTTAAGAAAAGCTACCCTGTAATCAAACTTTTGACTCTTTCAAATTAGCATAGGTATTTTTTTTTATTTCAATATCACCTTGCTTAATTCAATCAAACAGAACTACGTTTAAATGAGTACTGTATATAAACAGCGTATACTTTCAGCTTACATTGCAAAAAAAAACTTGAATAAAACAACATCTTCATTGGAAATTTTAGACAAAAATGCTAATTTTCTCGAAAAGCTTTAATTTTACAGGAAATTGCTATACGAGGGGTGATCAAAAAGCAAAATATCTAAATATTTACAAATGCACAATTCAGATCAGATTGAAATTTGGCACACATAAAGTCATATACATGTTCTATAAATAGCACATGTAGTGGAACGTTTTCCCGTGTGTTTTTGATGTGATTGTGACGTCATAAGGTAGATTACTTGTGACAAAAAATGGTTGACTTCGAGAAACAAACAGCTGTAAAGTTAAACGTATATTTTGAATACTCCTTTGTAGGAGTTAATGAAAACAAAAGACTTGCCAGAAGTTTTGTCATTCATTGAATTGATTGTTTGAGTGAAGGAGGGGAGATGTTTAAAAATGATGTATGTTCTGTTGCCCAGTGAAAGTAAACTTGGAGAGAGGCCTATCCTTTGTTAAGCAATTTGATATAAAACATCACAAACTTGCAGTTAGAATAATAGATGAATATCTTTACAGTTATATAATTATCAAATTTCTAAAAGATCGTTTACTTTAGACTTTAAACAAATCAGATATGATAAAGTAAAGGCACCAATACTAAATCCACATGAAATAAACGATGCTCATAAGACAGAGGACTTGGGTTTCGATGGTCATCATGCTCATGCTGCAAAAGGATATCATTATCTACCTATCCAGTTTCAGAGATTAGGCTATTTCTGACAATTAGACTTTTTTGTTGGAAAAAAATAACTTGCATGGTTAGAAATATGAGTCAGAAAAATTTTAAGCTTCTGCGACAGAACGCTAAGGAGCATGTCATGTGACCGCCTATATTACGTGATCCGTGCATGGACAGAATGGTTGCAGATGCATATAAAAAATCGGAGATGACTACCTTGAAACATTTTCAATACTGAATTCTATATCATTTCTTTTAGTTCACGAAGTTTTTGATCACCCCTCGTATTTCATCAAAGAAAAAGGACGGACCAGTAAATCAAATTATAAACATAAGCAAGAATCAGTCAATTAAATTGCTGAGATTTGTATGAAAGTAAAAAAAAAAGTTTTTTTGTTTGAAATATTTTTTTACAGGGAGGTATCTCTCTGAGGAAAAAGGAAAAAAATATAACTGAAGAAACTTGAGAATAAAATTAAAATTGAGAATATATCGAATTTCCAACGTTTGAGCATGAACATAACTAAAGAAATCTTATATACCGACATGCGCATCTGGTGCATTAAAGTTGGTGCTGCATAGGTTTTTTATTTGAGGAGGACACAGCCATGTACATGATTGATTGAATGTATTATGTTTCAAAGTCCACATTCAGTATCTTTAAATCAAAGAGATTCGTAGACATATATCCTTGAACCAGTGAAACATATCTGAGATTAATTTGAAATTAATCAGTCATTATTCCAGTTGCAACATTCTCATAACATTTATCTTGAAATTTTGGAGGGGAAAATGAACTCATCGATTCGTAGGATGCTTCACTTTGGTTTGGAGACAGAGATTGATTATCATCCTCCTGAAGAATGTCATAACAGTGACAATTTACAGTATTTACATATATTATGTCTGTTTGTTCATAATAATTTTGAAAATGAATTTCGTCGTTTTGTGATCGTTTGCATTTTAGAGAAAATAAATCAAGCACAGAGCATAGTTTTGCATGCTTATATACACATATCGCAATGAATAATAAAAGTGAAAATAGAAAAATGGAACCCAAAACATATGGGAATAAAACATTATTTTCTTTAACAACGTCGGTTGTATTTCTAACTAAGATTGTTGCAGCTATAGTAAACAACGGTGAAGTTTGTATTCTTCTATTCTTTCGTTTGAATTTTGTTGACTGGTTCGAAGTTTTGACTGATGTTGTTACTATATCAGTTTCTGTTTTTGTTGATATTTCTTGTGCATCTGTAAACAAAAACAAGAATTTTAAGTAAGAGTAATGAATATCCATGTGATTGAAGAGAACCTGTCAAATTATATATGTATGTATACCTGTCGAATATCGAAGTTGTATAGATTTTGTTGATAGTTTTATAGTTCCTGTTGTCTTTTTTTCTTCCATAGCGTCTGTTTGTGTTTTTATTGATATCCCTTTCGTTTCTAAAGAAAAATTAAATAAAGGTTTTTCAAGTAACTGTAATATACATGTTTTATAAACAAGCATTCTGAGAACATTGCATAAGCAATACATGTCCCCTACCGGATTCCCCTTTTTCTTCAGGATGTTATTTTATAATATATGTATGCAAAAGTTACGACCAAGGTAAAACTGCTTGATTTTGAGGTTGTGAATGCCTTTTATCTAATAAAATAATCCACGTAAAGACTAAAATTTTAATAATTTTAAAAAAAAAAAATCTTTTCTCTCTTCATATTTACCATGTTGACCATCGGAATTTAGCGCAGTACAAACCCTTAAAATCTTAAACCATTATGAAAAATTAAAATGCCATAATTCTGTCAAAAATCAATGAAGCGAAACTAAATTCATACTTTATCTGTAACTAATAAAGATCTTCTCACATACTAAACTTCAGCACAATATTTACAAGCGTATAGAAAAATGTGCAGAAAACCAAGTAGGACAGATTGACAGACAGACTGGGACAGACAGACGGACGGACAAACGCAGAGGAAACTTATAGTCCCCCCTGGTTTCAACGGAAGGGGACAAATAAAGTGTTTTATACAGAAGCAATTTAAAAATCCTAGAAATATTAAATTACATAAACCTGTCAAATTATGAAGTTGTATGGGTTTAGTTGAAAGTGTCCAATATTTTGGTGTTTTTTTGCTCTTCCATACGGACTGATTCTCTTTCCGTTGATATTCTAGATCTCGTTGTTTCTGAAAACAACAAAAAACTCTATTAGAAGCCATTATAAATACAAATAATCATATGCTTTAAGTTATCAAACAGGTTATAACATTTCATGATTAAAAGTATTAATTTGCAAGTTTTGGAATTGTTATATGCATGTATTTAATATAAATCATGATGTGATGTGATTTCTACCATGTGGGATCTAGAACAAAAGATATCAATGAATACAAAAATGACGATAAAACAGAGGGATCAGCATTTAAAAAAATCTATTAACAAGATTATTTATTCAGAGGGCATAAACTTAAAATTCCAAAGGTCGGTTCTGATGTCTAGAGGGAGTAAATATTCCTTATTGAATATGTTTCAGCCGCCGTGCGTTCTATATACATGTATATACATTGTACATTGATCAGGTAAACAGAAGTTTTCTTTGCTGAAGTAAGAATAAAAAAAGGCCTGAAAATAAATTTCAAACAGGTCACTTAAAGTAAAGTCAATAGATGTATATATTTACCAAGAAGATCATTAAAACAACCAACTACTTTAAGAAATACAGAGTTTACCAAGGTTGTTGAAATCCATGTAACATAAACTAATCTATCATAATTCTGTTTCGTTTTAAAAACTGGAATTCTCAGAGCATGCTGTTTGAGTAGCGAGGAAGTTAGGAAGTAAAAAGACCAAATTATGCAGGTGAAAGTGGATATAGATTTATTAATGAGAGAGTTAACGATGGAGAAGTTGAAGTCATTTAGTTGCGGTATATATTTTTGAAATTGAAGATCACTTTGAAAAATCTAACCACTTTCTTCTTGTGTAAGTTTTCAGCAATATTCATGTATATCGTTACCTCTCATTGGATGACATGCTGTTGATATTCGACAAGATATTCGATTACATGCACACTTCCCAGTTGAGCAGCGATATCCGTAGTATGGAATGTCACATGTTAGACTACAGTTAACGCCATAATGTCTATCAGGACATCCTTGATTTAAAAAAAGTTACAACATAAACGTCTAAATTTAAAAACAGATATACATGTACATGTACTAAAATACTAAAATAATTGAAATAAATTTAATTGAAAAAATGTATATGAACATATCGAAAAGGGCTATCATGAAGGGTTTAATGAAAGAAAAAACATCTTTACATAATTTTATTCTAATCTCTTAATTTCCATATGTTTAATGGTAACACATAAATATATGAGGTACATAAATTCATATTTACTGCTACATTTTTGAAGACGATCGTCCCATTTTTCTCCAACACAACATGGTCTGAAGCTGTAAATTCTGCGAAGACGATTGGTTATTACATCAAGATAAGGAATTAACAAGAATATATCCAATTCTTCAAAAACACGAATTATTAAAAAATAATCAACACTGTCAACAAGTTTTCTTGGAAATTAATTTCGTTGGTCACGTAATCAAATACTGTGAAGCTTCTCAGTAGATTTGATCACGTACCAACTAAGTTCAGTGACCATAAAGCTTTTTAACATGTTTGTTTATTACTTATATTTACATTTGAGACAAATTAATGCATAGTAAAACTGCATTTAGTACACGAACGGGCCGTCATGTTGCTTTGTTGTGATGCTCTGTGACCTAGACGTTGTTTGGTCTTAAAAGTTTACCTCGCTTTAACATTTGAATGTATACATTGATGTTAAGCTGTTCAGTCCAGGAATTCTCTTTATAATGAAAGACTAATGATTGCTGCTGAGTAAATTGCACTATTTCATGAGTATATATATAAGTATTTCAATTCGTCTATTTGAAACTGAAAGCGGTGTCATTGCCTGTTTTATTTTTGTACATGTACATACCCCCAAAGGAATTTCGGGTTAAAAGGGTAAGTGCAGTTTTAGAGTAATTGTAGTATTCAAATTATTCACATCAAAAGAAGATCTAGATGGTATGTTTTTGATTGACAAATATCCATATGTTTCAATGATTTTTTTTTCGTTGGTATTAACTTCAAAACATTCCAAAATCATTTGCAACATGACATATTGATTGATTGTATACTGTTTAACACCCCTCTCCAGAATATTTCACTGATATGAAGACGTGTCATCATCACAGAAATATGTAGGCAATTTATCATCTGTGTGATTCGTTCGCGCTACGACTTCTGACACCGAAATAAGTTCATACAGAATTGAACATATTTTCTCTCCAATATGTTCATTTAAGTAAAAAAACAAATTACAAATGTAAATATCGTTTTCCGTGAAATTCCTAATATGTTAAAAAATCGCAATAATTTTGAAAATGTTGAAGTTTATTTAGCTTTCTCATTTTCATAGGCAGACTACGTTTTCTTACTAGTAAATATGACAACAGTAACTCTCGCATTTAATTTTTAGCTCACCTGAGCTAAAGACTCAAGTGAGCCTTACTGATCAAAAGTAGTTGTTGGCGTCTTTATTAACTTTTCAACTTTTCATCTTCTTCTCAAAAACCTACTGGGCCAATTTCAACCAAAATTGTCACAAAGTATTCTTAGATAAATAAAAGCTTGTAAAAGAGAGGAACAAATTTAAGTTTGTTAATATAAAGGGCCTTGATAATTATGAGTAAGTGAAAAACTATTTGCATCTTTAAAAAAAAACCTTTTTTTAGGAATCATTGGGCCAGGAAAGTTGAAACTCATGTAGAAGTCTTCTCAGGTACATGTAGTCTAAATTCAAAATTGTTAAAATAATGACCCCTAGGAAAGTGCCAAAATGAAGCATTAAATTTAAACATTTGAATACATAGGAAACATCTTCAAATCGTCTTTTCAAGAACAGCAAAGTAATTATTTCTCATAGTTATATGGAAACAACCTCAGGAAGTGTAGATTCAAAGTTGTTCAAATCATCATTCCTTGGGCAAGGGTGGGGCCACAATGGGATATCAAAATTTAATATAGTTATATACAGGAATGTTTTATTTAAATTTTTGTCTCAAGAACAGAAAAGCCATGATTGGTGATAGTTATTAGAAAGCATCTTCAGGTAGAGTGGATTTAGATTTGTTTAAATCATAACCCTAAGGCAAAGGTTGGGTCATCATGGGTGATGGAAGTTTTAAGAAGGAAAACATAGTAAAATTCTTTAAAGTTCTTCTCAAAAAGAGGCAAGCTGTGATTGTTCATATATTTGAAATCATCCTCAGGTAGGGAAGATTCAGGTTTGTTCAAATCATGACCTCCGGGGGTGGAATATGGCAATAGTGGTGATCAAGGTTTAACGTAGGGAAAGTCGTTAAAATTCTTCCAAAGAACAAGAAAGCCATGATTGATCATCAATATAAAAGCATCAAAAAGGTCATGTAGATTTGAATCCGTTAAATCATGACCATCTTGCAGGATAGTTTAGAAATTACAGTGAGTACATCATAGTTGAACACATGAATATAAGGCTTATTTCAGTAAAAATCTTCACCTTGTCAACCGTAAATCAATTATGTATCAAATTATTTTAAAGGCCTCCATAGGAAGTGAGTTTAGAGTTTGTTAAGTTACCCCCCCCTTCCCAAATTCACTATTATATTTGAACTTTTCAATATGGAACTGATTATGCTCTATTAGCTGACTATTTGCTCAGGTGGGCAATGTGGCTTTTGGACCTCTAATTATGAATGTTATGAAATTAAATGTATTTGAAAAGAGTCCATGAAATCAGAGAGATAAGAGGTTTGATAATTTTTCTGTGAAATTAACAAAATGGGTTGGTATTCAGAGAGAAAATAAACTAGAATATGAAGTTTTTAAGAGAGAAATCACCTGATTTAATTTTTTTAAAAATTGAATAGAATATAAATTTATTCTTTCTCACCCATAAAGTGAATTTAAAACAAACAAAAAAAAAAAAAAAAAAAAAAAAACAAAACAAAACAAAAGAACGAAACAATTTCAATGATGTTGTTTATAAGTTATTATACAAATTAAGTATATAACACAACTTACCCAGAACATTCAGAACTTACGAAGGTAAAATACATAAATGTGAAAAGAAATAAATCTTGTAGTATTTTGTTGAACATCATAATGTAGGCATCTTTCCTTATTCAATTTGAATTATTATAAAATAAAATGTTA